ATCATCAGCCTGTTCGTCCTGTTTCACTTGTTACTGTAGGAGCCACACACACACAACATGTTCTTGTCCACATTTCCCCTTGTGCCTCTCATGCGGTATTGTGTCCCTGGCTCTTGGGGACTGTGAGTAACAAGCTTTCTCTCTCTTTCTTTCTTTCTTTTTTTTTTTTTTTTGTACCAGGGATTGAACTCAGGTCCTTACGCTTGCAAAGTAGGCGGTGGAACCGCTGAGCTAAATCCTCGACCCACAAACTGTCTTTCTGATGGCACTTGTCTCTGGATCTGTTGATCTCTGATTATGCAGTCTGGCCATTCCTAACTAATAGAACGTATATTTTAAAACACTGACCTCTAAATGTGATGTGTCCTAAGCTCAGTGTTTGGTTTGCTCTGTTTTCTCTACTGTAGCTATGCCCTCTGGATATATCCAGTGAAGGATGTACTTTTTATCAGCTCTCCATGATGGCTTCTAAAATTATGTCCCTGTATCCCCTTTGCATCCTATGTAATATAGCATCACTGCTACCCCCAGTACCTCTGTGCCCTTTGTTTTCCTTAACCTGCCTGGTTTTTCCTTTTCTACCTGACATGTGTAAGCAACATGCGGAATTTATTGAAATCCTCAACTTCTGGAAGGGGCTGGATTCACAGCCTCTGTCCACCCTTTGTACTTTGTACTTCTAACTTTTCCTAGTCACATTCTCATGATACTGAGACAAGAAAAAATAGTATCTGGGTAAAAAGAATATTTTTGGAATATTTGTCAAAAAATTTTTCACAGTGGAACTTGGCCTAAGTTCTGTGTTAGGATCATAGGGGAAGAAGTTTTCCATTTGTCTCTTTAAATTATTTTTATAAAACTGCTTTAAAATCAGCTGTTCTTAATCTTTGTTATTGCTCGTTATCCCCTCACCCAAGGAAGCACTGAGTCCTTCAGAATTTTTGAAATTTCCATTGTTTATAGACAAGGCTTACTCCAGGTGCAAAAACAGATTGCTTATCAGAGTACATCTATATTTAAGAGTAGTACAGGAATTGTAGCAACAGTTGAACTTTTAGGTTTGGCTGTGCAATGGACCCTTGACTTATGGACTTAATCAGTTCCCGAGGGCTGTTTACAACTCCTGTTGGTTGTAAGTCAGTACAGCTGTGATCTGGATGTTTACCTGGGTACACACTATAGATAACAATAGGCAGATGAATCTTCCACTAACCTCATTAGCCCAAGTTGTTCTTATGTCAGGCTGGGCATCTACTGTACTAGCGTTTGAAATACAGCTGTTTAAATATTAATCTTCACATCCTAAAAGTAAATGTGAAAAAAAGTGCCAGTAGTATCTGGTTTTAAGTTTAGATTAGTACATCCCTGTGAACCCTGGACCCTCAATGAAAGCTGTAACATTTACAGTTTACTGGGTAAATTTACTGTCTGCATGACAGTAGCCTTATAATATGAAATCCTGTCTTCGTCTGAGAAGGTGAACAGGTTTTTGTATTCACGATAATCAAGATCTCAAAAAAGTACTCATTCTCAGTCTCCTGCCATCTTTCTTTTTTCTTGAGAATTTGCTTTGGTAAATAAAATAGTCCCCTCCAGAATATTGGTGTTATGGGTAGAAAAAATGGGAAGATGTTGATCAAAGGGTCCAAACTTCTAGTTCTAGGTTGAGCATGTTCGTTCTGGGGATCTAATGCAAGGTGGTGCTAGTCATTGCAGTGTGCACGGAAACCACATCATCACATCGTGCACCTTGAATATGTACAACATGAATTAAATATGAATAAGAGAAAACTTACGCCGACTGTGATAAGGAGTCATTCAAGGCTTTTGAGCAGAGGTAGGACATGCTCTAACTTACATTTTGGCAAGACCACTCTGGCTCCTGGGTTCACTGTGGCTGGGACCACAGTGGTAGTGATTGGGGATGGAGGTGGGATATGGTCAACAGGAGATACTGTAAGGCCTTGAAGGAAGAACCAGCATATTTCAAGACGGCTATAATGCAGGGTATATGATAGGGCTTGGGGCGAGGGTCAAGCGTGACTTCTAACTGGAAAGAGGGAGTTGCCCTCAATGAAGGTGAGGAAGACTTTAGGAAGGGCAAGCCTTTTTGATTTGACATTTTCTTTTGGGGTGAACAGAATGATGATATGTCTAATTTACAGGTTAGAAGAGCAAGAGGAGAGGCCATTTGGTTTTTGCCATCCCTGTATCCTTATGATAGTATCTTTAGACCTTGCAAACATATAAAGACCTCAGTCTCTAGAGAAGAATTCTGAGATCAGCCTTGGACTGTCAGTCAGAGAGGCTTTGGACAGCACTCGTGGAGTTCCTAACATGATATCTGCTGGCACAAACTCTCCATGGGTGCTCCTCCTTGGGAAGGTTTCTTTCTGTCACTGTCACTGCCACTGTCTGGTGATTCCAGCCAGAGCTTCCTTGTTTCACTTCTCTAACCACAGACCCAGAAAAAGCACACCTTTTCTTTTCTCTTTTATTCACTGAACAGCACAATTCCCTTCAGTAATAATGGAAAATATGCAAATATCACTCGATTTTTTTTCTGCCCCATCTGTTTCATTACCTACTTTGATCTGTTAATTGAGAACTTTGTCTTTCCTCTGCTGCACTGATATGTATCTGCATACATAACAATCAGAGTTTATCTGCATTTTGTAAAAATGCATGACATAGACAAATCTGATATTTTGGGGCGTTTTGACAAAGAACTGGGGAGGAGGATAAGGTGCAGAGTGGCTGCGGTGATGACAGCAGGAGAGTGGCCGGATGCCGCCCTCCTTTCTTCCTCCCTTGTTCCCTTGTCAAGCTCTTTGCCCATTCGCCTGTGATCACCAGTCCTGCTCCCCTGAGCTTCCTGGACTCCAAGTGAGATGAACTCGAGGAGTTCAGGGCCTAGACTCTCAGAGAGGGGCGGCAGGGAGGGCGTGAAGGACAGCAGAACTAAGGGAGGGAAGAGAGGATCTGGTGGCTGAGTAGGGTGTGGGCACAGGAAAGGTACTGGGAGATGGTGCGAGAGGCAACGCCGAGACAGAGAGGCAGGAAGAGCCAGTGTGGGTGAGCTTCAGTTCAGGGAGCCGGTGAGAGCCCCATGTGAGACCCCACGGAGCTGCTGGAATTGCTGCCTCTAGCCCCTTAGAAGGCAGGTGGACAAATAGGGCAAGCTTAGGGGGATTCAGAAGCTAGAGAGAGACTCGGGCGTTCTGGGCATCATTCCATAAATCACGGTGACTGAAGTGTTAAAAGTGGGATGTGGCCTCTGGACAGCTCCCGAGAGATCACCACTCTGTCTCCCTCACACACATTCCCTTCAGAAACAGTTTCGCCAGCTCGTGTTTTGTGCTGGAAAAATGATGAAAGACGGTTTTGCTTCTGAACAGGGACTGAATTATTTCTCACTAAAGCAGCAACAGCACAGCCGCTGCTCATGAAATAACCATTACCAGTCGCAGATGCATGAGCTTCCCTTGAAATTTCAAGTTCCTTTCAGCAGCTCTTTGAAAATAGATTCATGACAGAATCATGCTAGCGCAAAATGCCTCACGCCCATTAACCATTTCTGCAGGTGTCTGTGGGGCCTGAGAAATACGAAAAGACATGACCAGCCCGCGCTTCGCTCCAGAGACACACACGCAGCAGAAGCCCTTGTTTGGCACTCTCATCCCTGGCCCGCTCAGCTCTTAATTTCCTGTCAGATCTGTTGAGGCACCTCAGCTGAATCACAGAAGCCTGGTTTGGTGGCTTAGGTTATACAGGGTTTCAAATCTCTTCTCAGCTTGTAAGGAAACCTTCTGTGTAGAGAATCTTAATAATAAAACTTGTTGTTTGAAATGTTCTTTATTATCCAGTTAAATTTTTTAAATATGCTGTTATAACACTCGGTTGCCACTGTTTTTATCAGGCAGATCAGTAGCAGGCATTTGACTTGGCTGGTGCATGAGTAATTGAGGTATTTGACAGCTTGAGCACTGCTCACCTGCACCTCGCAAGTCTCAGGAGGTCAGTGGCTTGTAATTCATTGCTCTGGTTTAAAGGGTGTGACTTTTTTCCTGAAAGAGGGTTTAATAACATTGACAGAAGCAAGAAGCCAATGCCAGAATTGATCCAGCTAGCTTTTCCCTTCTTACAGAGTTGCTGGCCCACTGTCCTCTGAGCAGGGAGCAGCTCTGTGGCCCTGAGAGGCCAGCGTTCCTATCACCAGACTGCGCTCTGACACAGGTCTCTTCTGGGCATTTCCGAGAGTCCTTCCACATCCACCCAGTGTGTCCAGATGGCTGCTTGGGGAAATAGATCTAGGATACAAGTTTAACATTCAATTTGCCAGTTTTTTTTCTTTTGACCAAACCAGGGAAAATAATGTAACTTATAAGATATTTTTAGTAGTAAATTGTATATGTTAGTATATACATTTATGTGGTGAAAATTTTTTCATGAATTAAGTTAAAAATTTACATTTTCCTAAAATTTATCATGCACTGTGACCATACACTGTTACAGCTCATGGGCTGTGGTCTTTTGATAAAGGAGGTTCCTCTGACTTTTGTATTCTTCATAGTTCTCACTATGTTAGTAGGGCTGAAATACACCATTTCACAGTCAATTGGTTTGGGCTGACTAAAACTTAAGTTTAGTGCAAAATTCACATTTTGTGTTTTCCAATCTTAGACTTGCTTTAGAATTCTCCTCTACTTGTGGGCAGGCCCGTATCTGTAGGTCGGGTGTGTGGGGCTGACTGTGAGGTATCATTTAGAGACAGCTTGGTCTCAGATCCCACTGGTGCACTGCAGAGGTTCTTGCTACTTATTCTGAAGGAATGGTTAGTTGTCTTGCAACAAGATTTGTTTCTCCGGCATTACTGATGTTCGTTACTTGCATACTTTTACTCATAATGACAATGTCAGTTTTTTGCCCGTTATTCCTCATAACTTGGTAGGTAAATCAGAGCAACCAAAGATGAGTAATTTGTTCTTTGTTTTTCAAAGGTCTCATCAGAAAATTGAAGATTCTGAAGAAAGCAGTGATGAAATCCTTGCTCGTCTAACATCTGCGGTAAGGCCGTGTAATTTCTCTGCCTAGAAGTGTGGAGATAATCAGACTGGGTCTCCGAAGGGAGGCAGTTCTGTGGTGGTGTGAAGAGAGAGATTTCCCCTCTGGCTGCTCGTCATTGTAGCAGGCCCAAGATGAGGTGGAGGGAGACAACAGCTTTGACTTTCTGTGCCCATCTGTGGCCTCACTTGCAGTGGAAAGTTTCCAAAGCCTTTATTGGAGGTGTAGTATCTCATTTTTTCAAATCTATTATTATTTAACCTAGGAAAAATTGTGACCTGCTACACAAAGGATGAAAGACCCTGTTTCATTAGGGAAAAAAAAAAAAATCACTTCAGCCAGTAAAAGGCCAGGACTTTGCTTCTTAATGTACCATAGCATATTATTTTCATTGTGTTTGGTTGTTTGTTTTTGGTATGGGGATCGAACTCAGGACCTTGTGCTTGTGAGGCAGTCAGTGGCACCACTGAGCTAAATCCCCAGCACTTCATTGTGTTTTTTTTTTTTTTTTTTTTTT